ATGTCCTTGTTTTAAATGCAAGAACATGTATTATAAAACAAGAGGTGATGTAGAGCTTCACTTGTTACAAAACGGTTTCACTCCTAATTACACAACTTGGTGGGCACATGGTGAAAGAAATACGATATCTCAGCATGAGGAAGAATCTTCTAATCCGATGCAGGATCCGATGGAAGATGATGATGATGATGATGTTAATGGGTGTACACAAATGTTGATGGATGTAATGGAGGAACTCCCAAATCCAACTGCCAAGGGGTTCTATGATATGTTAGAAGACGCTGATGAACCTTTGTGGGATGGATGTGAAAATTATTCAAAATTACAAGCTACAACAGAGTTGTTGCATTGGAAGTCAGAATACAATATATCTGAGGCTGCCTATGATCACATACTTCCTATAATTAAGCGGATGCTACCCAAAGGTGAGAAACTAGTTGAGAACTTCTATGAGACGAAGAAGCTTTTGAAAATAATTAGACTCCCAGAAAAAAAAGATTCATGCTTGCAAAAACCATTGCATGATATTCTATGGGGCAGATTCTGATTTGACTAAGTGTCGAGTGTGTGATCATGATCGGTACAAGAGTGGCAGACTGCCTTATCTGCTTATGAGGTACTTGCCTATTGCTCCTAGACTCCAAAGGTTGTATTTAACAAAAAAGACGGAAAAGCAAATGACATGGCACTATGAACATCAGACCGAACCGGGTTTGATGGTCCATCCAAGTGATGGTGAGGCTTGGAAGCATTTCGACTCAATGCATCCAGAATTTTCAAGTGAACCACAGAATGTTCGCCTTGGGCTATGCACCGATGGGTTCAGTCTAAATAACTCAAATACAACCCCGTATTCATGTTGGCCTATTTTCCTTTCAATTTATAACTTGCCTCCTTGGATATGCTTAAAAGAACCATATGTTCAATTAAGCATAGTTATTCCTGGAAAAAAGAGCCCTGGTCAAAATATAGATGTGTTTCTTAGGCCGCTAATTGACGAGTTAAAGATGCTATATACAGACGGTGTTGTGACTTATGATGCTTCGACTAAATGCAATTTCACAATGAAAGTTATACTTCTTTGGACAGTTAGTGACTTTCCTGCTTATGCAATGTTATCGCGATGGAGCACACATGGCAAGTTAGCATGTCCGTATTGTATGGGTGAGTCGGGGTCATTTCGGTTACACCATGGTAGTAAACAATGTTGGTTTGACTGCCATCGAAATTTTTTACCTGAACAACACACATATAGGGGTGACAAAACAGGATTTCTGGCTAATAAGGTTGAGCGATCTAGCCCCCCACCAATATTAACCGGTGATCAGATTTGGGAGCAAGTACGACACTTTCCAACTATTTATGAAGGCAAACCTTTTAGAGCGAAGAATGCAAAATTACCTGGTTTCAGGATTACTCATAATTGGGTTAAGAGGAGCATCTTTTGGGAGGTACCATATTGGCGGAAGTTGTTAATACGACACAACCTTGATCCCATGCACATTGAGACAAATGTGTTTGAAAATCTTTTCAACACCGTGATGGACACTCCAAAAAGCAAAGACAACATGAATGCAAGAAAAGATATAGAAATGTATTGCAATCGAGTGCAATGGCATACATGGAAGAAGGGAAATAAGGATATGAAAAAGAGAGCATCGTTTGCTTTGAGCAAAGAACAAGTAGCTAAAATATGCCAATGGTTGATTAAACTTAAATTCCCGGACGGATACGCCTCAAACTTGGGGGAGTGCGTTAATGTAGATGATAATAGCTTTTACAAATTCAAGAGTCACGAGTGCCATGTATTTCTTCAAAGATTGTTGCCTATTTCTCTAAGAGGTATGGTGCCAAATTCAACATGGGATGCAATTACAGAGTTGTGTACATTCTTTCGTGTAATATGTTCAAGGGTGTTACGCGTAGATGTTTGCATCTCACCTTAGTTTCCACTTAGACTGTTTCCAAACATACCGGGGGTTCTATATCTATTTGTCAACATAAGAAAAGAATGGTAAGATGTTTGCATCTTACCTTAGTTTCCACTTAGACTGTTGAGTTTTTGTTTTGTTTTTTAATGTATTACTAATGGATTTTGTAGCAAGCAATGCTTAAACGCCCTCCTACAGGAGTTGAACTTTATGCAAGGTTGCACACCAAACGGTCTACTCAAGAGTATATTACAGCAAAGGCAGCTAAAGTTAAGGTATTTTCAATTCTTTTGTAGGAAACAAAACTTCCTACTACTCGGGTTAATGACTTTGTTAAAGCAACTAATTGACAGAAAACAAATCTTTCGTAAGTAGTAATCAACTTACAAAAGAAAAGAAACAAATTATTATCTCTAAATGTTTGATCCTCTGCCTAGTTGTAATTAAGTGTTTTGTAAGTAGTAATCAACTTTATGCAAGGTTTGAGTATTAATTAATAGGAGGCTTATGAAGTGGCTCATTCCATTCCTTGATTATGAATTTAATGGAATGGAATGAATCATTCCATTCCTTATTTCATGTTTCTATTTTTTCATTTTTTTTTGCAATAATAGGAGGCTTATGAAAGTGCTATGGTGGCTAAGTTTGGTGATGATACTAGTTGCCACCCCCTCTTGGATAATGAAACATGGTGTGATGTTTCCGGAGGAGTCAAGAAAGGAAGAATATATGGATTCGGATATGTGTCTGATCCAGCGAGCTTTTTGGAAGGAACATCTAGTACAATAACATCCCAAGAGGTTCGTTTAATTTTGTACTTTATAAAAATTTCCTATCATAGCATTGTACTTACAAAGTTTCCTATCATGACATTGTACTTACAAAGTTTCCTATCATGGCATTGTACTTACAAAGTTTCCTATCATGGCATTGTACTTACAAAGTTTCTTATCATGGCATTGTACTTACAAAGTTTCCTATCATGGTATTGTACTTTAGGTTGTCTATGAACGTGTACGAAACGAGATGCGTGGCGAAATGGATGCTAAAGCTGCAGAAATGGAAGCTAAACATCAACAAATGCGTGAGGAAATGGATGCCAAAGCTGCAGCAATAGATGCCAAACAACAACAAATTGATGCAAAATATGAAGCAATGGAGAAGATGTATGCAGCCTTGCAAAATATGATGGGAAATTGAAAATTAGAGGTAATATGATGTTAACCATTAGTATTTGATGTTTTTGAATGACTTGTTAACCTTTTGTATTTGATGTTTTTGATTGTTTTGAATAATGTTTTATAGGAATGAGAACCGAAGATGATTGGATGGACATGAAATGAAGAGAGCAGCTAAAATGTTATTTTGAAGGTTAAACTTTTTTCTGTTTGTACATCTTTTGCATACTTTGGATTTCTTGGTGCTAAAATGTTATTTTGAAGTTAAACCGTTGGGAGTTTGATGTTATGTGGATAGTTTTGTTTTTGGATGTTTTTTGAATGATACTTTGGTAAACTTTGATAGTTTTGGTATTGTAATGTTTGGTTGTATCATTATTTGATGTTCTTTAGTATAATAATTTGATGATTGTAGTATTTTTTTCTTTTAGAATCATAATAAAAAAAATGATATTACAAGTTCGTGGTGAGAAAATAAAAAGTATTTTAATGCATGAATTTTGCGAGGGATTAGCTACGGAAAAAAATCATGTCTAAAGTGTGCGACGGATCAGCGACGGAAAGGAAAAAAATTTAATGTATGAATTTTGCAAGGGATTAGCGATGGAAAAAAATCATGTCTAAAGTTTGCGTTAGATCAGCGACGGAAAAAAAAATAGTATATGAATTTTGCAAGGGATTAGCTACGGAAAAAAAAACTGTTCATGGAAATTTGCGACAGAACAGCGACGGAATGCATTGAGTGACATTTAGCGACGGATATTCTGTCGCTACCTTTGTCGCAAGGAAAAAACCGATCCGTCGCTAAAACCCTCACTGAGAAATTAGCCACCTTTTTATTACCTATGGAGTGAATCCGTCGCTAAAACCCTCGCAAGGAATAGCGACGGATTTTTCCGTCGCTAAAACCCACGTTTCTAGTAGTGAAACAATAATAATAAAAAAATAAAAATATTATTATGATAATAATAATATTAATAATAACATAATTAATAATACACCTCATCAAAACCGATTAATATTTAACTATCAACAATTGCTCATGACGACCACATATGCCATACAGAAAACAAATTTCACCTAAAGTTTCTCTTAAGTGACAAAGTAAATGAAACTTCGAGCGACCAATATGCCCTAAACTAGCTATTTAGTAACCAATTCAGATCATTAGTGAAATTGGATTAACATTCAATTATACTAACATTGAAAACTAACTAGCACTACTAGACACCACTGGAAAACAAGGTCAATACCTACAACACAATCCGTATTCGGTGGTATAAGTCGATACCTACATAACTTCTACGGAAAAAGGCCTGTAACATAAATGCTCATGTGTAAATTATACCTACAGATTAGTTACAGACAATGGCGGATCTAGTATGTATCCCGTAGTAGCCCAAGTTACACCTCAAAAAAATTTTACTAGTGTAATTTTTTTCAGATTTTTTTTTTGTTCTGGATTACGCGATTTTTTTTGTCGGGATACCCCTTACTTTAATTCTGAATCCGCCAATGAGTTGAAGGATAAAAATGATAACCCGAAATATCAGGACCCAAATGAAATACATATGCAGTACACGTTTTCCACGCCACTGACAAAACCCCCACCTGCCCAATCCTAGTATTGACAAGATTCACTAGAATAAAGTAATTAAAAAAAGATACTAGGAGTAGGATAGCTGCCCTTTAAAAAAAAATTCGTACTTTATTCATCTTTAATGCTCTTATCTTGGTAGGAATATCTTCTGGCAAACAGAACGTGAGTGTAAAAAGATAAAGCGGAGACTAAACAATTCAAGTATCGAATACAATATAAACCTGTTTAAACTTTATATGAACCATGAAGATGTTAACTGCATGCATTCATTCAGATCTATTCTTCATTCAGATGGCAAGCTCATCAATCCATCCTCCTCCTCCACATGCTTTAGCACAAATACAAGAAGACCTAAAGTACTTATATGCATCAAATACTAATGTTTCTAACTTTGTCTCTGTGAAGCTTTCCAGCGACCACAATTACCATCTGTGGAAGACACAGATGTTTTCCCTCATGGAGACTTACAATCTGTATGGCATTGTAGATGCAACATTTACTGCCCAGAGATCGAGAAACAATATAATATTCTTGTCAAAGATTGGATCTTGGATTCAATTAGCAAGAGCTCCTTGGCACTGTTGTTGATCTTGATTCCGCCAAAGATGTCTGTGAGAAACTGAAATCATTCTATGATACGACCGCCACCACCACTACCACCACCTCTGACATCAACCGACCCCACCACTGTCACCACCAACGGCCGGTAGTGTAAAAAAAATTCCTAATAGGTGCACCACCTTCATATATGAGTGACACAACTTTTCAATTGTTTTGTGTCCGCCACTGGTCACCACAACCTCTTTTGCCACCAACTATCATAATCATATATGATTACTCAATCAGTGAATAGACATGTATGTATAATCATTTATGATTAGACATATATGTATAAACATTTATACTATATATGATTATCCCTCTCTGCCATATAATCATTTATGATTAGGTATACTCTGTTGCTGCCGGTACGCTGGAGCGTTAGAGCAGCAAATGAGAAATATGTGGCTAAGGTTGAATCTCAAGATCTGTGTGTATATATATATATATATATATATATATATATATATATATATATATATATATATATATATATCATGGTTCTAAAAAACGTGTCATGGCGCGCCTCAAAGCGTGACATGGCGCGAGGCGTGGTGTAGCCGTTACGAAAACGTCCAAGGCGGGTTTGTTAAGCGTGACACCCAAATAACGTGTCAAGGCGCGCCTTATCGCGATATAGCGCGAGTTTTTTTTAGGCGCGAGTTTTTTTTTTGTTTTTTTTTAACTTTTTATCGGGCCTAAAATAATTGAGTTTTTGTTAACTTTTTATATTACGTACTAATATAACACTTCTAAAAACTTGATATACTTGATAAAAATCAATAATTATATGATTTATCTCTTTTAATATATAAAAAATAGTCACGCCTTGAAAAACGCCATGGCTCGCCAAGGCTTGTCATGGTTTAACTTTTACCTTGCCGCCAAGCCACGCCTCACGTTATTTAGAACCTTGATATATATATATATATATATATATATATATATATATATATATATATATATATATATATATATATATATATATATAAACAGTTATGGATACATAGTCGTTTAAATGAAATTTTAAAATGGATCCAGCTCAGTGAAAACAGGAAGCAGAAACATATCGAAGATAAAGTTTCATCAGAAGGGAATATCACAATTTCATCTGAAATACAAACCGTCGAGGAAGGCATAAAACAAAAAGGAAAAAACAAGATCATACGCAACAGAAAGTTGCGTCAAGCTATTACGGAAGGAAATTGGAGGGAAGTAGAGTCCAAACTATCATCGGGTAAAGGCGCAGACACAGAGCAAATAGACAGTGACGGGAACACCATGCTTCATATAGCGGTTGGATTACGTCGTAACCGTATATTTAGAGAAATATTAGAGTTTATAGAGGAACTAAACTTACCAATAATGAGAAATTTTGATGGAAACACAGCCCTGCACACAACTGCAATCGTTGGCAACACAAAAGCAACAACACTCTTGGTAAAAAAAAACAGAAGATTGTTGGAAATTCCAGACCATAAAGGTGAAATACCTTTGGACAAAGCTTGTGAAAATATGCATCTTGACACCATCGAATATTTGTTGAAAGGTGCGAATGATGTTGATGGAAAATCCAAGAAAATGTTTTTTCCTTTAGAGGATTCTGTTAGCCCTGGTGTAAAAGTAGGCTTTAACCTTCTTGTTAATGCTGTTACTCAGGGCCGGTCCATGGGTTTTTAATGCCCAGGGAGAAAAAAATTAAATAATGCGCCGATAGTTGTATTAAATGATTTAAATGTATATACAACATAAATTAACTAGTGTCTTTTTTCAAACAATTGCATATCCATATGAGGAAATGTCCCAACATCACTATAACATTGTCTTGTGCTTTCTGTGAATCAAAGAAATTTATACATTAGCATGTTTAACAAGTTCTTTAGTGTTACCCTGTTACTCATAATGTCATTGATTTTAAAATAGTAAGTTAAAACTATATTTCAAACAAAATAGTGAACTATGAAGGAGGAAAATAAAACTAGATGCATTAAACTATGACAAACACACTACCCCTACCTTCATTATCTTAAATGTCAATATAAAATTAAAATTAGAAAGCAAAAATTGTCACCGTCTTCATCCATTTGTAACATAATCTCAAAATTAAAACATATATTCTTTAAATCGACTATCAAAAAACTGGGAACAAAGAATGTTTTCAGCACCAACACATTTTTATAATTACAGCAACACCCAATTAGGCAATCAACTTTACAGGGAAATCATCTCCAAGGGAATAATCGGCAAGACAAGCTATCACTCTAATATTCCTTGAAACCAAACTCCATATCACTTCAAATTAAAAATATAGACTAAATACACCTCTGTGAGCAGGGGCTAGAGCATCAAGGGCAGAATTGTCCAGATTGACAAATTTCAATGACATACCGAGGAAACAACTTTAAATCCAAACCATCCAAAAAATGAGTCAAACATTTCCTTGCACCTGGGTAAAATTCCAAACACAAAAACTTAACATAGTTGAGAAAAAAATGACATCTCGAAAAAAGTTGTGCAACAAATTGAGAACCATGTAATTCTGAAACAACAGGGGCAAGATCATTCATAATAAGAACTAAACAATAGGAGAATACTTCCATTGCAACATTGTTGAGTGCTAGATCATAGAGAAGAGAAATATCGATAGAGTCACAGAAATTGGAAGAGGAAAGGATATCCAAAAATTGAAAAAAAAAATCTGATGGTTTTTCTTTTTCATTGCACGAACATACCATGAACACTGTGGTGTATATGGGTCAGTATTAGAACTTCCTTCTTCACAGCCAAGAGTTTTACACTTTGTTATCCAAAAACTACTTTTACTTACACAAACCTTAAACTCTCTATTTTGCTTGATCGACCAAAGTCTTATTGCATTTTTTACCAGATCCTTATTTTCAAACAACATTCCTAACCTTATTTTGTTTTCAGATTCATTCCAAAAATCTAAATGAATTTTGTCTTGAATATCTACTATGTCATCGTCTCCTTCGTCTCCAATATCGTTCATAACTGGATGGTTACTCACAATTGGAGTTTCATTCACATTATCGTCAGACTCATCCCCAACATCACTTAATGATTCACTAACACTATCTTCACTAAATTGGGAGTTGGGTTCATCAAATCCAAAGTCATTATCTATCTCACATCTAGCACCATTAGGTAAAGGAAAATGTACCTCAGAGGGGTTGGTGACAAAATCAATAGGCTGAACTGGCTGTGATACTCCATAATTGTTAAGAAGATCTACAAGACTAGTATTCGCAGGCCACATTATTTGTAACTGCAAAATAAACAATAAGATCAAATATATAAATTATCATATTATATTTAATGTTTCACGTTAGATATTTGAAATTTAGACAAGAGTATGTACCTTACAATTTAGTTGCAAAGGAAGATTCGTGTATGAAGTCACAAACGTGACTGAAGAATTAAAGAAGAAAAACTGGGATTTCAATTTTGTGAGAACTATGGTTTATGAAAATGATGATGGAAACTAAAATGGTGAATTCAATATATACATCAGAAAATGAATTAAACGTAAACAAAGGAAAATGTGCTTGTAATAAAAAAACAAAAAAATGGAACTGCAATGCTATAATTGGTAGATTTGTCAACATAACATGACTTAATAATAATTTTGTTTGAAACTTACAATGGTGTAACAATAAGAGAATTTAAAATGCATATATCTTTTTAATTATTTATTTGAAAAATCAAACAATCATGTTCAAGCATACAATAACACACTTCAACACTTGGAGAAAAAATTGTCCGAATAAAAATGGCTTGAGTTACAACAAGTGAATACGTCTAAAAACATCAATTTAAGTTTAAATATATATTGGGCATTGTTAACAAAAGATTCCATTCGTTATCTAAATATATATTGGGCAATTAAATTAAAAGACAATAGCGTTCAAACAAATGCATTGGATGAAGATGAAAATTTAAGCAAAGATAAAAACTCCATGGAACAAGATGTTGATTAACCAAATTTCAATTTTTTCTGCCCATTTTGCACGGTCAAAAAAGTTTAAAAAAAAGTTAGACCTGATGAACCCTTTAAGAAACACCATTTATTTTCAACAAACTCAAAAACAGTAACGCATTAATGATTAACCTAAATATACTAATTCTCAACAAAGTTCAATCTAAATTCTTACAAATATTAACTAGTAATATCCTATTAACAACTAGAGGCGTGCAATCATCACAAATATCGGTGAGATTAATCACCGATATTTGTGGTCCATGAATTTCTAAAATTTGTAATACTAAGGGGTAGGGCTTAATATGTTGGAAAGGCTGCAAAAATGCATGTGATAGCTGTTCCATCTATTCAAAGTGAATCAGATCAATAATTAATTAATGATCATATAATTCATTCATTCCTGGGTCTACACTACTTTATTACGTATTGGGGAAAAGTGTGACAACTATTAAGGGTTTTTTTCATTGACATGTTTACTAGCAGATATAAGCATAAAATAGAATCATGTACAATTAAACTTATAAACTTATTGGTTGGTCGAGTTGGTTACTATTTAACAAAAAAACTATATGGACCAAAATAGTAACCAAAGGTATCCATACATGAACATTTATGTTTATAACCAACAATTTGAACAGGTTAGTTTTCTGAATTAAAACAGATGACATGACATAAAGCACAAGTAGGCAAGTAGCAACATCTTATGATTATCCTAGAAAATTCATCTTTAGGTACTGAATCTTTGTGATTCATGAAATTCCAACAACGAAGTCACAACAATACAACATTGTTTATCTGGTGAAATTCTCAATTTGCATAAACTAAATATTTATCAAAGACGGATTATGAGTTTTATCCAAGAAAATTCATGCTAATTCAATCACAATACATGCAAACAATGTGCGATCTATGAAGCTTGGGCAATAAAGTCACATCAATACTTCATTATTTGTCTACTCAAAATCCATAATTTACATCAAATGCAATAAAATCGATCAATCAAAATCACCAATAAAAACATGAATCAATTTGTGTGTAAGGATTGGTAGAGTTAACATATTATTAACTCACCTTGGATTCAATGGCAAGATCAATAGAACCTCAGGTAATTAGATGATAGAAAGAGAAATTAGAGCATTAGGTGGCAATAGTCACAAATGTTTTCAGGCGGCACAGGCAGATGATTTAGTGGTGAGTCACGCAAGTTTTAAGAAGCAAATAGGACGAAGAAGAAGGTTACTTGTTAGGGAGAAGACGATCGATAAAAAAAAGTGGCGAAGAGGAGTAGGACGATGCACAGTGAACACGAAGGCGATGAAGATCATCAATCGAGAACAACCTACCAGTTGACGGAGCAGAGCAGGCGGCGAACGACAGAGCAAACAAGAGTGAGGGAAGCTCATGATAGAGTGAAGTCTACTCAATAATGGCGTAAGTGAAGACTAGGGAAACTGAGGAATTAGGTCAAGTGAGGAATAATTTTCATCAGAGCTTCTCAATATTATGAGTAAAGAGCAAAGTCTTGTCTACAAAATAATTAATATAAGGTGGACTTTTTCATTAATTGACTTTTGCATTTTCTGATTCATTAAAAACGACCACCTCCAATAGACGATACAAAAATAAGGTTGGTATTGACTGGATTTAGCGTTTGTTTCTTGTTTTTGGTAATTATATTCTTCTTTTAACTAAGGGCTAATTATATATATATATATATATAGATATATATATATATATATATATATATATATATATATATATATATATATATATGAAAAAATTCAACAGAGAACCATTACTAATAAAGAAACAAAGGACCCAATCCACAGTGTCGAATTTAAAGTGATCAACGGCAAAATGAAGGGTTGTAGACTTTTACAATGGACGCATATATACCAGATTATAACAAAACTCACTTCTTTTTATATAGTTTAATTTCTTTATTTGTTGAAAAGTAGGTCTATTTTTTTATAGAAAAAAAAATAATAAATATATCAAAATTCATACTTTTTGATACTCTTTAAACATAAATTCATATTGATGTTAAAAAAATAATAATAATAAATTAAAAATAAAAAAAATGATATTTCAGTTCCGATTCATATTGTGAACCTTTTCAGATTCACAATGTGCTTAATAGTAAGTCAGATTCACAATATGAATCTGAACTGATCGAGCTTTTTCACATTGCAAATGTTAAAAGTTGAAATATTCACAGTTTAGATTCACAGTGTGAATCCACACTCATCGAGGGTTTTTTTTAGTCGGTGTTGATGTTTATTAATAGAGTACAAAAAATTAATATTTTTGGTATATAATTAGTTTTTTTTTTAAATAAACATAAATATTGAAAAAACTAACAAAATGAAGTGCGTTTTTTTCGAAAAAAAAAGTTCGTTTTTTATTTATCAACATGAATCTCTATGGAAAGATGATGAAAAATCGAGAACAACGGTATATCGGTTTTTTTTCGATAAAAAATGTGGCCTAAAATTTTTTTTAACAAAAAAAGAAGTGAGTGTTTTGGTAAGCAGGTTGATTTTTTGTTATAATCTGGTGTGTGCGTCTAATGTACAAATGTACATCTATTTTCTTTGGCCGTTGATCATTATGATTTCTGATGCTCAGGATTGGTTCATTGGTTCCTTGTTAATTATGGTTCTCTATTGAACCTCACCTT